CATAGAGGTCAAAAATCTAGAGAAAATAACTCCAGCATCAGAATTCATTTCTAAGTGTTGCATACTTTTAGGTGTTTCTTTTTAATTATGCCAATGTTATAGTTTTGTAACGATTTTGAACTGTATTCGCTACGCACATATTGAAGGCGACCGAGTGATTGATGTTGTAAAACAAATTTTCAATTTAACGACGTCAATTTGTAGCTGTGTGATTTTTATTGCATATTTATAGGCACTTTACGCAAATACTTACCTGAACATGCAAAGGTTTGAAAGCGGCGTTGTTGTGAATGAAAAAGGCATACAATTAATTTGCAAAAATTACTTGCAAATATTTTTGCCACGATAAGTATTGTAGTGCACACTTGTAGGTGCTGCAATCAATTAAATTAAAAGTATGCGCGCTCTCAAAGCATTTTTTCATAAATAAATGTACTTTTAAAGTACATAATACGTTTTTGCTGTCTATAATTTGGTGTTTGCTCAATTTGCATAAATTTTGGGCATACTTTTAGGCGATTTTACTTTGCCATCGTATTTTAAGCGCTTTAAGGTCTTTACCGTGCGCGCGAAACTAATTAAAATATCTTTTAAACCAAAGCAATTGCTTTTGACATATTAATAATACAAATATGACTTGCATATGCATACCTTTAGGCGCTTATGAAATATGATTCTATTCTTTTCTGTATTTTTTAAAACACTGACAGCTGATTTAAATTAAATTGTCACTTAATTTCAGTTGCATTCTACCTGCAGGCGTTAAGTGTGCTTAAATCGTTACTAAAGAATGTACATATATAGAAATTTTCCAATAAATTAACATCACTTCATGTTGCAATATTAAGCGTCCTTGGCAGCTGCAGGCTGTAATTAGTAAAAGTAGAAATTATTGCATAATTTTAGGCCACTTTAGAGTCATTTAAAATATTTTGCAGTCAAGTTGTAAACATCTTAGCCATGTTTTATAAAACTCTTAATTGCTTAATAGCTACATTCCTTGCTCATTGCATCCACTTTACACTTTAATTACGCTCTTAATTGCCGAAAAGTATGCTACAAGTATTTCATTTACTAACTCGAAAGTGTAGTTCGTGCTCAAAGTAATAGTAACTTCTTCAACCACTTTTTTCACTATAATTAATAAATATTTAATAAAATTTTCAAACTCGTCTCCTCCGCGTTGCTGCCAACTTCTTGGCGCTCAATCAAGCTTAACAATTTGACAACTTTTTCCTTGCATTCTTTACTAACTTACTTGCTTTCTTCCGCTCTCATAACAAGCGTTTCTTGCTCGCTACACCTGGCATTCATAATTTAATGAATGATAGTAAAGTAGTTAGCTGTAGAGTGTGCTGTATTATTGTTCTTTCGGCTTGTAGCTTCCGCACTTTGTTTCGCTTCCTGTGCTCGAGGTTGCTACATAGTATGCTGTTCATTATTAAAATGTTTTGTTGAAATTTTTCGGACATTGTACGCCATGTAGCCTTGCTATTGCTCTGTGAAAATTGAACAAATTTCTAAAGAGGGGAAACTTTTTTTCGGTGCTTTAGAATGGACTAAAAAGAATGGATGGAAAACTTAAAATAATTTTTTGACAATAGTATTTGAATAAATTATATGTTGTGCGGTTAGGAGGGGTGGGGCTCAAAATACCTAATGTAAGATCAAAGAAGTCGTCACAGGAGTAGAATCTGGAAGTGTTTATCTATTGTCTCTATCATTAGGGCTCACACTGAATGCGTTTATGGTGTCTAGAGTTGCTGGTACTGCTATGGGTTTAAATAGATAACACGCTCGTTGTGGTGCTGTAATATTTCATATTTCATAGTTTGTCTTTCATGATATTTCATCTTACAGTTTCGACTCTCATATTTCTTTCCTATTTCATATATATTTCACCTTTCATATTCCATCTTTTACACCCCATCTTTCATAATTCACCTTCAGCTTCATATTTTACATTTCTCATACTTTCATAAAATTCGTACTTTCTTTCGTCTTTAACCTTGCGACTTTTTTTGGCATTTTTTCGGGCTTTCGCAATTTACTCGAAATTTACTCGGGTCGAAATACATACATGTCGGTAGATGGGTCTGGTTAAATGCACAGTAACCCAACTTTGTGTCAGCAACATTTTCCAAAAAGAAAGTTTTTTGAAATAAAAAAAATTTCCTTGATTACAATGTTGTTATCTACGCTTGCCTGATTATCAGGTTATCTGGTTAAAAATAATTTGTTTCGTAATTCAAAACTTTTTTTGAACTTAAAATTTATTTTTAAGCCTCAAAATTTTCGAACAAATTTTTTATTTTTTTATGTTTTTCTTACTTTATTTTAATTTTTTTAAATGCAAATTTAGAAATTTAATAAATAAAAATTCTAGCCAAGATTTTTTTCATAATTCAAAACTTCGGAGTTTATATTTTTCGTAATTCAAAACTTTTTTCGAACTTAAAATTTTTTAAAATTTTAATACATTTTCGAACGTAATCATTTTTCAAACTAATTTTTGATTTGATTTTGATTTATTTCTTTCTTTCTTGAATTACAGTTTTTTCATAATTTTTTCGCGATTAAAGGTTTTTCGTAATTTAAATATTTTTCGTAATAAAAAATTTGTTTCGTTATAACATATGTATATGTATTTTTTTTTGTTATATACATATGTAAATTTTTTCGTATTTTGCATGTTTTCGTAATTTATTTTTTTTTCACAATTAAAATTTTTTTCGTGATTAAATTTTTTTATTAATAAACGTTGCTATGTTCGTAATTCAAATTATGTTCGTAATTAAAATAATATTCTTAATTAAAATTTTGCTCGTAACCAAAATTTTGTTCGTAATTAAAACTTTGTTCGTAATTAAAACTTTATAATTAAAATTGTGTTCGTAGTTAAAATTTTGTTCATAATTAAAATTTTGTTCATTATTAAAATTTTGTTCATAATTAAAAGTTTGTTCATAATTAAAATTTCGTTCGTGGTTAAAATTTTGTTCATAATTCAAATTTTGTTCGTAATTAAAATATCGTTCATTAAAATTTTGTTCGTAACTAAAATTTTGTTCTTAACTAAAATTTTGTTCTTAACTAAAATTTTGTTCTTAACTATAATTTTATTCTTAACTAAAATTTTGTTCATAATTAAAATTCGTAATTAAATGTTTGTTCGTAATTCAAATTTTGTTCGTAATTGAAATTTTGTTTTTAATTCAAATTTTGTTCGTAATTAAAACTTTGTTCGTAATACAATTTTGTACGTAATACAAATTTTGTACGTAATTCAAATTTGTTCGTATTTCAAATTATCGTAATTAAAATTTTGTCATAATTCAAACTTTTTCGTAATGAAAAATTTGTTTGTAATTAATATATTTCGTAATTTTCAATACTTTTATCGAACTTAAAATTTTTTCGTAATCCAAAACTTTTTCTATTATTTTTTGGTTTTTTCTAATTTTATTATATTTTTTTTCAAGTTTAACATTTTAAAAAATGTTTTTATTTTTTTGATTTATAATTTTTTTTACATATCCTTTTTTATTTATTTTAAAATCTTGTTACAATTTGATTTGTATTTGTTTTTTCTATAGTGTTAGCGTAATTTAGTTTTACTCTTTTATAGATTTATTATTTTTATTTTATTATTTTCCTCCATTTTGTCACTTCCCAGAATTGCAGCAAATACATACATACATATTTTTAAGTCAACCCGAGTTATTTGCAAGATTTTTGTTTATAATTAAAATTACGTTTGTTTATATTTTCGCTACTCAATACCCAATAACTATAAAATTCCAAACATGCTGTATGGCAATCAAAATCTCGCCGATCGCCGCCTCCTCATGTTGTACTGTTGCAACACCACGCACCGGCACATCCGTTTACACATCTCTTTAATTTCAAATAGTATTTCGACATCAACGTTTTTCATCGTGTAAATATTTAGCCGCATTTTTTATGCTTTGTTTATTTACCCCAATATAGTAAAATCTCACTTTATTTGTTCGGAAGCAATGTGGCGGGGAAATGAAGCAATCGCTAGCGTTTCATTTTAGCTGCGAATTTCCGCTTTTTCGGATTATTTTATGACCTCGGTTGCTAGTTTGCGCAAGTTGCTAGGCAATTTCCACATTTTCTTTATTCAAATATGAGTTTCATGTTTACCATAGTTTTACGGTAAGATACATTAAAAAGTTGTTTGAAGTTTAAAAATACTTTGTAGTTGACTGAGTATATCGCACACCGCCTTCAAAAGGGGCACAACTCAAAATTACACGTTTGTCAAAAAATGTGAAAAAACTACATACATATTTCTTGGCACATGATAATCATATGGGCAAGAGAGATTTTAACCTGAGGGGTTTTTAACAAATTAAAACATAAATTTGCTCCAGCTTTTGCTGAGATATTAATAAATGCTCTGTGTACAATTTAGCGCATAATTTCAAAAATGCCAAATTTTGAGTTGTGCCCCTTTTGAAGACGGTGTGCGAGATATTTTACTGTGTTGTAAACAGTGAGTTCGACGAAATTTTGGGCGTTATTGCTCTTAATTTTTATGGAAGGGTGGTACTAAAAGAAGTTTATAACCATAAAGTTTGATGATTCTTTCAATAAATTATATCAAAGCAAATTCACGTGTGCCTTATGTTTCACAGGTAGTGCGCTAAAAAGTATACATTTCTCGTCATCACATTTAACTTAAAATAATAAAATATTATTAAAAGAAATATATATGTATTTAGTTTCGACTTGCTCACATTGTTTAACGAAAACGTATGCTAGTTAAAAAGTCATCCTCGCCAACTACTTAATAGCCGTCGGAACTTCGCTCTTCCAAAACTTTACTCTTTTTCAGTGGCCTGTTTTCTATTGAATGGTGTCACACCTTTATCGCTTATTTAAATTTATATCCTCCTTAACCCATAACTGCTAACATAAAAATACTTCTCATAATATTAATTTATCTCTCTATCTCTTTTACCCTCTTCCAGTGCGCAGTTGTCGTGCCGGCAAATCCGTACAAATGTCCGAGGCCGAAGTGCGTGGTCTCTGCCTGAAATCACGTGAAATTTTTCTACAACAACCCATTCTACTGGAACTCGAGGCACCACTTATCATATGCGGCGACATACACGGCCAGTACACAGACTTGCTGCGTCTTTTTGAGTATGGCGGTTTTCCACCAGCAGCCAATTATCTCTTCCTTGGCGACTATGTTGATCGGGGTAAACAGTCGTTGGAGACTATTTGCCTACTGTTGGCCTACAAAATTAAATATCCGGAGAATTTCTTCTTGCTGCGCGGCAATCACGAATGCGCCAGTATTAATAGGATCTATGGTGAGTGCTTTTGAAAATACATATGTAGATATATAACACTGGTCTACAAGGGTTTTGCGAATAAGACGGGACCTGGTGTTTCCGAACGGATTTTTCGTGCTGAACACGAATCTGGGGTCCAAAACTTCCCATCACGTCACGTTTTCGAGAAAAAAGGGGTTGAAACCCCTAAAAACAGCGTTTTTGGCCATTTTTGAAAAATTGTAGAGCTGAACCCTGACGTGCTACAAACTTTGTATATGTCAGAAATTAAAGGCTAAATCGTGCCCTTTCGAATGAGCCCTATGCCGAATTAATCGCATGCACCCTTAGATCAGGGGGTGTATTTGTGTCTAGGAGTCCAATTTTTATATCCACCATATTCGACCCGTCATCTTAAATTTTTAAAATCTAACTGCAGATTCGTAATCAGCGACTTTTAATATAGTTAAAACCTTGGCATTATTAATTTTCTATGATCGTTTAAGATTAAATTCTTTCTGTGATCAATTTTTCCTGCACCCCTAAACACAAATACACCCCCTGCTTTAAGGGTGCACGCGATCAATTCGGCATAGGGCTCATTCGAAAGGGCACGGTTTAGCCTTTAATTTCTGATATATGCAAAATTTGTACCACGTCAGGGTTCAGCTCTATAATTTTTCGAAAATGGCCAAAAACGCTGTTTTTAGGGGTTTCAACCCCTTTTTTCTCGAAAACGTGACGTGATGGGACATTTTTGACCCCGGATTCGTGTTCAGCACGAAAAATCCGTTCAGAAACACCAGGTCCCGTCTTATTCGCAGAAAAAAAGTTGAAATTTGTAGACCAGTGTAATCATTTAACCTCGCTGATTTTTTCTACCTTTTTCATTTAATTTAGGCTTCTACGACGAATGCAAACGCCGCTACAATGTGAAATTGTGGAAGACCTTCACAGACTGCTTCAATTGCCTACCCGTTGCCGCTATTATCGATGAGAAGATTTTCTGTTGTCACGGTGGTCTGAGTCCTGATTTGCAGGGCATGGAACAGATACGTCGCCTTATGCGTCCAACTGATGTACCCGATACCGGCCTGTTGTGCGATTTGCTGTGGAGTGATCCCGATAAAGATGTGCAGGGTTGGGGTGAGAATGATCGTGGCGTGAGTTTCACATTTGGCGTGGATGTGGTGTCGAAGTTCTTACATCGGCACGAACTGGATCTCATCTGTCGAGCGCATCAGGTGAGTGGATGTGGGAAATAACCTAATTTTACTTTTGAAAGTATATACAACTTCAGTATTTTGCTCAGAGTGTATTTAAGTAATTTACCAAAATAGAGAACGGTTACGAAATCTTGAAATTTAAATTTCCCTCAGAACAATCGAAAATATATTTAGATGGACTTCCGTCGATAAGAATAAGGAAATTCGAGAATTTAAAATAAAATAAAAAATTAGAAAAAAATGAACATAATAAAGTTCATAAATTTTGCAGCCTCGAATTTCCATTAGATAATATTTATTTGAAAATTTAATTCAAAACCGCTGACGTAAACTTTTAATAGTTTTGGAAAATATAAAAATTTTGAAATAAATTTGCATCAACTAACTTCCAACAGAAAATTTTAATATAAAAATATATTTCGAAACAAGACATGGCTAAAAAGCATTCAGAAATTGCAGATATTAATAACTTTGCGTTGTAACGATTACGAGGTTTTGAGTTTTAGTTATTTTGAATTTTCGTAATATCGATGTTTTAAAACTCAGAAACTTCGGAAAATATTAAAAATCCATAATTTACTTTTATTTTATGTTTTAAAAGATATTCTAATAAAGTTTTAAAATATTTGTAAAATTTCTTATTTTTTCAAATTTAATCTTGCAAACTTAATTTTTTTTTTCAAACTTATTTTTTTCATGCTCCTTATTTTTCAAACTTTTTTTTGCCATTTTCTTATTTTTTAAACGCTATTGTTTTTTTTCAAGCTTATTATTATTATTTTTTTAAACTTATTTTTTTTGTAAAATTCTTACTTTTTCAAACTTATTATTATTTTCGAATGTGTTACTCTCGCAAACTTCAGCTTTTTTCTAAACTTTCAAAATTTGTGCAAACTTTCAAAAATTTTCCAAACTTGTAAAATTTTTCCAAAGATTATATTTTAGTTCCAAACTCCACATTTTTCCAAACTTTAAAACTTTTTTCCATACTTTAAAATTTTGTCCAAATTTTCAGTTTTTTCCATACTTTCAATATTTTTCCAAACATAAAATTTTTTCAAACAGATTTTTTTCTACTTGCAAAATTTTTGAACTTTTTAGTTTTTTGCAATCCATAATTTTTTCCAAACTTTGAGTTTTTCCAAACTTTAAATTTTTTCCAAACTCTAAATTTTTTCAAACTACTAAATAAAAATATTTTTTTTTTTGTAACATCGAACAATTTCGATATTATTTCGAACTCGAATAATTAAAAATCAGATTAAAAAAGGTTCACAACCATTTTCTTTAGCAAAGCAACCGTTTTCGAAATGCACTGAATATTTGCATTCCGATTTTCTCATAATTCGCTTCGCCTTCTATTTCAGGTCGTCGAAGATGGCTACGAATTCTTTGCGCGCCGCCAACTGGTCACACTCTTCTCGGCGCCAAACTACTGCGGTGAATTCGATAATGCTGGCGGCATGATGACTGTGGATGATACGCTAATGTGCTCGTTCCAGGTGAGTACAAACATGTCCATATGAATATTTTTATATATTTAAAATCTTTGAAAATCTAATGGTCTTCAACCTCACAGATCCTCAAACCATCCGAGAAGAAAGCGAAATACTTGTACAGCGGCATGAATTCGTCGCGACCAACAACACCACAACGCAATGCACCGCTAATAGCATCGAATAAAAAGGGCAAATAATATATCCATCCACTTCCATTTCCTTAAAAGTTAATTAATTACTATATAAAATTAAAATTCGAAAATATAAATGAGAATGCAAACAAGCAAAACAATGAAAACTGTAACAACAAAAAACCACAGAATAAACAGAAAAAGCAAACGAAGCGCGCTAGCAGCAAGTAAGGATAAAAAATAAAAATAAAAAAAAAATATAAAAAAAATTAAAAAAAAAAATTTAACAAAAAAAAAACGAGCGAGTTAAACAGTGGGATATGTATCAGCAATTACAGCAACAATAATATAACAACAATACACAGATTACAGTGAAATGAAAGAAAATGTGCAACATAATTAAACAAAGAAAAAATTATTATAAACCGCAATTAGCAAACATTTATTAAATAAATACAAATACATAAACGATAAGATTTTATTTAAACAAATATATTAGTAAAAAATGCTTGTAATGCCTGCAGGCAGACAAAACTGCAAAGGTCCGAAACAAATATCTATGATCATACATATATGTACTGATTTCATTTTCTGTTATCATTTTTATTTTTAGTAAAGCGTAAATAAACCGCTGAAAGATGTATACATTTTATATATAATTCATATTTCACGAAAAAAGAGATAAAATAAAACTCATGTAGGAAATTGTTGTTGTGTAAGAGCATAAAACGGGATAAAATCCATTATACTATATGCTAAAATAAACAACAAAAGTTGCAGATCTGTATTCAAATACATACAAACAAAAAAAGTTATATAGGAAGATTGAAGCTTCGGTTGTGTGGGCTGAGCTGCTGATGTGACAGGAAAGAAATTTAAATGTGACAAGTGTGAAAAAGCGCGAGAAAAAAGGCTTAAGAAAGAAAAGTCAATAATTTTCATAACTAAGAAGAACCATCGAATAAATCTATTTTAACTTGAAGAAAGAAGGCCTTAAATAAAAAAAAAAAAATGGAAAAAGCGAATCAAAATAATGCGTTTATTTACAATTTTTTCTCTATAGAATACAAACCTTTAAGTTCGAATTTTCAGAGATCGAGAATTCGAAAGTTTTAAAAAATATCTGACATTTTCAAAGCATTTAATTTTTTTTTTATCTCTAAATGCCTTTTATGCAAAAAAGTGACATTGCATTTCAAAAGTTGTTGCCGATTTTTAAACTTTCCCTGCAAGAATTGCCTTTTGTTCCGTTTTTATAATTATTGAAATTGAAAAACTGGAAGAGTAAGCAAAAACTTAGAAATAAATCATAAACTTAGTTTAAAATCTAACAGAGAATTTCTGTAAGTTCTGCAATTTTAGTAAATTTTGGTACAAGTTTCGAAATGCTCGATATAAGATTTGTACAACGTAACTTTTAAAAATATTTTCGAAATTTCAAAAAATATTTACAATTTAACAAATTAAAAACTGGACCACCTTACAATTGCCTTTCAATTGAAATTTCTCACTAGCGTGATTTTCGAAAGTGTGAAATAAATGCATACATCAAATTATCGCGAAAGGTGAGTAAGCCCAAAAAAAAATTTTTGCTGCGTTTTAGAAATACCTACGCATTTTTTAATTTTCAAAAGTAATTTTTTGTTCGTTTCTTAAAATGTCACACTCTTGTAAGGCAAAAAAGGCTCATTCTCTGCGCTTTGAAGCGTTCGAAATTTTCGGGTTCGAAATTGTTTTTCAACATAAAATTGCATATTGAACTGAAGCGGTAGAAAATGACTTTTTTGAAAATGGAAAGCGCTAAACAAAATTTCGAACCCAAATTTTACCTAAAAATTTGGCAAATCCGAAGAAATACAAGAATATCACTTCCCCTAACAAGAAAAATTATGTCGTCGCGAATCAATTTCGAAATTGCTTCATAAAAAGTTGTTTGAAACTGAACAACCGCTACAAAAACAAAAAAAAATTTAACTAAATAAATCAAACATTAGCTGCATTTTAGAAATTTCGAAAAACCAATAAAATTATGTGTACCCAAATCTGTGCTTAAATGTTCAGCAGCAAACTAACGAGCAACAAAAATTTTTCGAAATCGGGTTGGGACGTTGCACATTTTCCGGTCGTGGGATAACCTCTCTAACAGCTATGCTGGCAAACTGAAGCGTTTTCTTAATTTTGAATAATAATACATTTTGTGAAATTCTTAAATAAATTTATTGTCAGCTGTAAAGTTTTTAATCGCAATTTTTTAGCAACCCTATTTAATATTTGTTTTTTATTTTTTATATTGTTTTATATTGTTTTATATTTTTGTATATTTTTTTTATTTTTTATATTTATTTATATTCTTTTATACTTTAATTTCCTTTATTTTTTAATTATTTTGTTTGTTTATTTATTTTTAACATTTTTGAAATATCTTAAATTTTGTATCTGCTTTTAATTAATTGTGTGGAAATTTTAATTTTTTATTTTGTATATGTATATTTATATATTTTTTTAATTCATGTATAAATATTTTTTAAGTTTAAAGATTTAAAATTTTGAAATATTTTTAAATTTTATAATTGAAACTTATAAATATTTTTAAATTTTAATTTTATTTATTACTTTTATTTTTTTTTTTATATTAATCGTTTTCATTATTTATTGTTTTAGTTTTTCTTGTATTTTTATTTCTTTTAATTGTTATGTAATCTTTTTTCTAATTTAAGTTTTATGTTTTTTGGTGTTTCTTTTTTCCAAATTAGTTTTTTTTAATATTTTTTGTAATTATTTTTTTCTTATTTTTTGATTGGTTTGTAACTGCCGATGTTTAATTATAATTTTTTTTGTATTGTTTTTTAACTTGCCTAGGGAATTTTGTTTGCAACTATGGTGACAGCTTTGAAAAGCCATACACCAACAGAGCAGAAAAGGAATATTCAAGTATTAGAAACAAGACATTAAGGCCACGTTTTATTACATAAAAATGGTGTTAAAAAACTAAATTTTCAATGGAAAGCGATTGAATTAAAAAATGTTTTAAGTGCCCCTTAGATAAATTTAAGCTTTTATCTTCCTCCTGCAAAATCGAATTTTCAACTTATAAGCGCTTAGCGGCTTCCAATGCTTAAAATTTACTAGACAAAACTTTTGTTTTAAAGTAAAATCAATGATTTGCCTTTTAAAGAGCTATTTTCGGAATCGTGGTTTATAGAAAAAACTATCTAAAAATCTGGGTAAGAGTACGTAAAACTGCAAGGAAATCGAGTGTAGCACACATATGCGGACGGATATGCGAGTAGTAGTGTCTAGAACATAGTTGTAGTTTTTAATTACAAAGGAAACAAAAAACTGGAAATAATACAAATGAATCTATTTATATAAATGTCGAAACGATGGAAACTATATATACATGCAAACATATAAACAAATAAATAATATATGTATAACGATTCAAAGCATACAAGTTACTAATACCACATGCATACAGAAGAAAAGTAGCGGAAGTTGCAGAAAAAATAAAGATAAAAAATTATCACAAAATAAAAAATAAAATATCACAAACGCATTACATATTACATTGAGCGCGTCTGTTCTCGTTGGTTAAAAAGTGAGTAAATAGCATAAAAATAAAAATAAAATCAAATAAACTATAAATTAAACCCGAAAGGCTAATTATTTATATTATTAAAATATTAACAATATACTCTGTGTGTATGTATTTATTCAAAGTAAATTAAAATTTTGAAATTTTTTTCTACTTTGAATAAATTAAAAAAGAAGAAAATTAAAACTTACCATGAAAAAATAGACGAATGTATGTCCAGGACCTAAAAAAAAAAGAAAAAAAAAACCCAAAATGAAAGAGTTAAAAACAAACGGGAGAAAAATAAGTAAAGCAATACTTTAAGCATACGAAAACTACTACATTATAGTTTAATATGTTAATTGAAAATGAAATTGAGAAAAGAAGAATATAAAAAATTTAAGGAAATGTATAAATCTAAACCTGCGTTAGTCCCAGTTTGTTAATTTTCAATATCACATTTTCAAGTTTACGAATATTCGAAAATTTGTTCTCTACTCGTTTGCTGCTCCTTTCTATAATTTAGCGCATTTACTTTTGTTATTTAATAAGAGAAATATAATTTTGTAGCAAATGCAGCAAAAAATAACTAAAAGCTGTAAGAAAAATAATAAGGCTAGCACAACTTGATCAAGCGTATTTGAATTTGATTTTCAAAAATGTTAGTCACAAAATAAATATTTCTCTAAGCGCTATTGCCGAGGCGACATACTTTTTTATGCATCTTGATGTTTATCGTTAAAACATAAAAAAACTCTGTAATAGAATTTTTCGAAATCTAATTTGGGTTTCGTAATATCGAGATTCGAAAAAAACTCATTTAGATTTCGATATTACGTTCAGTATCGAATTTTAAAAGAAGGAGAAAATAAAAAAATCGTCCTAAAAATTTCGAAATTTCTGCCTTTTTAAAAATATAAAATTGATTTAAAAAAATATAAAAAGAAAATTAAGAAAAACTAGGTTCCGAAATTCAGAGTTAAAAATTGCGATATTTTAATGAAATAAAATTATACTGTTGACTATATTTAAAAGTTTCAAACAACAAGGAAATTTTCGGTTATGAAAGAAAAAACCGGTGATTAGAAAAGATATAAATTAAAACAAAGCTTGAAGAATTGTTTAATATTCTTTAATTTAATATTAAAATATTCTGAAAAAAATAGGAGACAGCTTCTCCGTAATGAACCCCTCGAGAGAAAAGGACATTTTCGAAAAAATCGAGATTTTCGAAAATAGATTTCTAGATTCGAAATTTAAAAAAATTCTCCACACTAGAAGCAATCCATTTGAAAGTTCGACAAAGATAGGAGTCGTCCAAGAATAAGGGAAATTAATCTGTTCAAACATTTTCAGACATTTCGGAAACGAAAGAAATAAGAGAATATCCAAAGTAATTTTCGAGATCTGAAGCTAAAAACATGCTCCGTAAAATTTAATTTAAAAATTTCGTAAACCAGAATTTATAAAGTAAATTAAATAAGCCGATATAAACCGATCTTTGAAAAGTTCAAGAAGACATTTTCAAAAAAATTTATGACATTCGTTTTAAATCAAAGAATTTCAAAAACCAGTTGAAAAAAATTAAATATTGAAATCTGGGATACTTATTTCTAGTTTTCGAGATTTGGAGCGAAAATCATCTAATATAGCATTTTTGAAAAGGCATAAAAATTACGTTTCGAAATCGCTGCTTTTTGTTAAAAGGAATTCGAAAACTAGCGGTCGATTTTCGAAAAGAAAAAAGACTGTCCGCCTCATTGCGTAAGTCGTAAATTAGGCTGAATTGTACGACTCGACAACATTAGCATTGTCTACTGTCGTGCTGAAATAAGTAAACGACGAAAATTGTCGAAAACTATGCAGTGCTGCCAAGTTCTTCCGTTTTAATACACTAGTCGAGTGGAAATTTTAGGCAATGACGCTAAATTTTCGATACGATTCGACTCTCGAAAAACGACTTGCATTCGGCACGACTCTCGCAATGAGGCTGTGTATTTAATAAAAAAAGAGACCAGCGAAAAAATTTCTATTCGAATTAAAGGATAACAGTTCGTTTTTATTAAACGAATTTTGAACGCTAGGCTTCGGGATTCGTTATAAAAAAGTGTTTGAAAAATATCCAAATTCATCAACTTCAAAATTTCAATACCAATTCAAAGTAGTTTGGAAAAAATTTTTTTGTGTAAAGGCGAATCCCGAAGTAGAAAACCATTTTATGTTTGAGATCTCGAAAACAGAGCAAGCATAATAATTTACGCATGATGTGCTTCAGTTTTTTGGAATGATAAATTTAATTATATACATCTGTAAACCAATTAAAAGCTTAATACCAAATCTTTCCTTTAACTGCTTGTGCTAATAAGTTTTCATAATCTAAATAAAGCGCCTCGGCAATAAAAGTTCCCCGAGAAAACAAAAAGTTGTAAAAGCAAAAATCTACAGGCTTTATACGAGAGGCCCTCAATTTATTATATTTTGCTCGTAAAAAATATTTTAAAACGCAAGAATGTTTAAACTGTTTTATTTGTGTTTTTAGTTAAGATTTCTTGTTCTACACCTAAACCAAAAATCGTCTTCACCTCGAACACTATCCAACAATCTACTACCCACAACTCCAGCACGAAGAACACCAACACCAAAACATAACGCAACACCCTCCTATTACTCGTAATTATTATAAATATAAATATTTATATTGTATGATAACAATTTTCGATTTGTTAACTTAAGTAAATAATTATATACACTTGTGTTGACCTATCAGCTGAGCATTTCAAATATATGAATTATAAAATTATAATTACAATCTTTTATTTATTTATTCTCGAAGGGAGTCCTGTTTACTTTTTATTTATTTTTTGTGGCTCTTTTGTTTTTGAGAAAATAAATTTCTGTGTGAAGCAGCGGATAGAGTTTGTCTCTACTAAAAGATGTTGGCTCTGCTTAATTTTGAACACGACGTTGGCCTAACTGAAGCAACTCTATTCGGCAGCGAGATATCTAATAACAAAATGCTACTTTGAATCATACTTGCATTTCACAAGGAAAAGTGGTGTTAACGGCTCCAAAAATTATCTTAACAAGTCCTGGGACCCACGCATAAAAAAATGGTACATCGGATACCAAACTATTTTTTGGTGAAGTTGAATTTTGTTAGGCAAAAAAAAACTCATTAAAAACAAAAATATCTCAAGAGATCGCATTCGAATTTTTC